CCGCTGCGCGCCGGCTCGGATAAAGCGGGGGAAAAGCGCAGTTTCAGGGTCACGGGAGTGCAACGGGGAGCGGGGGGAATATAAAGGATCCTGCGGGTCATGCAGCAGCCAGGGCAGTTTCCTCGAGGAGGAGAGCCCGCGCGTATTTCTCCGTATTTAAATCATATGGAAAAATCACAATATTCGGTGTCGCGGCGCTGCCCTCGCCGCCGTCTCGGGCCTCCTGGCCGCCTCCCGGGGAGCGACGCGAGGGGTGAAGGGGCCGGGCGAGCGCCCCGCGCTGCCCCGAGCAGAAGCGGCGCCTCCCGCGCGGCCGCTGCCTAGAGGGAGCTGAAAGCGAAAATAACAATTAAAAAAGAAAAAACAGCTAAAAATATCCGTGGTAACACGGAGAAGACGTCGCTCCTGTAGCTGTCTCCCGCTGGAGCCGGTGTTGGCTCCGCGCTCGCAGGGTGCCACTGCAGCGCAGTGCGTCGCGGCCGGCGCGCGGAGGAAAGGCCCCTCCAGAAGGCCATGGAAACGCTGACGATGCCGCGTGCTCGTGAGCAGAAACCAGGGAGCCTGCACGTGCAGCAGGGCGTGCGCTGGCAGGACGCTGCCATCCCTGCTGCTTGGGAACCCCACAAAAACTTCCTATCGTCCCCCTACCCACCCGAACTAAGCAAAATGCTGGCCATTTTTTACATGTTAAAGACTGCAGTGAGTTAGACTTAAAGTTCTTATCTCAGTATAGCAGAAGAAAGACTTTATGCAGCAAAGAGGTATTTTTTAATAACGATATGGGAGACGATGCCTCAATGCTTTAAGTTATGTAATTAGGTAGGGTACCAGAGAGTCTCCAAACATTTGTTTTTTTATCCTTCTTATGCTTAATTTTTTCTTGTTGAGAAATAATTGGTGTGGGATAGGCTTGTAACATCAGTGGGGCTCTGTTCCTCCAGCAGAGAAGGTTCTGTAAACTAGGAAATACTTTTTTTAAAAAAGAAGTGAAATTATATCAGCCAAGCATTTTGTGAAAGATGCTTCTGGCAGCCGTGCCAGATGAACACGGAGGGAGATGGGAGGTTTTCCCGAAGTCGTGAGTAATGTTTTCCTCATCGTTCTCTCATCCTCCCACTCACAAAAATCACCTATCAGTAAAAAAGGGGGTGGAGGACCTCCCGTTTCTGAAGCAGGGCTGCCTCGGCAGTGTCTTTCTGTTGCAAGGCAGTGACTCTACCCTGCAATTTTCAGGGCTGGATTGTGTGTTTAAAAAAAATGTTAATCATAGAGGCAGGCAGCTAAATAGGCCATCATGAAGGTGGTTTCTGCCCCTGTTGTGAGGCCTTGGTTTTCAAGCTCTAAATGATGGTTTTCAGCACCACTGTGGTTGTCCCTTGCTTCTTGGTGTAAAAAAGCACCAGATTTGACTTGGAAGGTTTATAACAACATTCATTCCGGACATGGTGGGTAAATGCTGACTGTGTTACTGGTGTAAAGTAAATAGAATCAAGTAATGCAATTTGTAATGTAAATACATACTGGAAACAATGTAATTATTGCACATTTTAAGTAGATCTAGATCACAGAATGATCAGTGAAGCCAATGTTTTAGACAGATATATTCGTTTGATTTTCTTTTTTTATTTATGCTTAAATAAGGACTGCCATATGAAATTTGATTTTTTTTAAATAATCAGGGTAGCTGTTTAGTTCTCTCTATAAATTATTGAAATGCATTTCATACAGATAAATGCACTGCTTTTGTGTTTCCAAAGTAAAACTATCCTCTGTCCAAAAGTATTTTTAAGAGTAGCACCTAGAATTGAGAAACGAGAAGAAAATAGTAATTTTTAAGTATTATTTTGTATCTGAAGTCCTTTGCAGAGTCATATTGCTTCCTTAACAACAAGGTTAACAAATTGTCTAGAAATGCCAGGAAGGGGCTATGTGTGAACACAGAGCTTTTCTCAATGTCTTAAACTTTGCTTGTTGATTTCTACATAATATTTTGTATGCGCTTATCAGCAGAGAGTGAGGAAGAGGATGACAATGAAATGGAAATTGAAGATCAAGATAGTAAAGCTGAAAAGCCAAATATCATTAATTTTGACACCAGCTTGCCAACGTCACATGTGGTATGTTCTTTTTCTCTATATATTCCACTAAATATGTTTTGGAGAGGTTTTAATTGGGCGATATATATACATATACCCCTTGATTTTGATAAAGCTGCTGAATAAATGCAGTGGTATGCCTGCTGATTCTAAGCTAGGTGAGTGAATCTTGCTAGAAATGTAATAATCTGTATGTATTCTGCTTGCTGATCTCTGTTGCTCGTTCATAGTGGACAGGGGATTTTTGCTGTGAGCCATTCAGAGGGTGTCCTTGAATGGTTCCAGTCCAGAAGTTTCTGTCCACTTCTGTACTGTTGCATGAGATCCCCCCCAGGTGTTTCAGGGGTAGCAGAGCTGAGGCCTTTGCTGCTGTGACTTGTCCCATAGACACTGGGGTAGAAATAAGCAGTGTTCTGTGTTAGCAAAGATGCTAATTCAACTCAAGTCCAAAAAGAGTCTTCTGTGGAGCACGTCCTGTGGTCTGGCATAAGCAGGTAACCCATGATAGTGAATGCATAACGTTCTGAAGATGCACTGCATATGAGTATTCAGTGGACCAGGCTCACTTTTTAGAATCATTGACTTCTTACGATTGTTTTTGTACAACTCTATTGTAAAATCCATAAAGCAACAACTTCATTTTATTTCATCTTTATAAAACAAAAGCCTCCTATGCGAGCATTATTTCCTTTTGTTTTCAGTATTTAGGTTCTGATATGGAAGAATTTCATGGGAGAACAGTGCACGATGATGACAGCTGTCAGGTGATTCCAGTGTTGCCTCACGTGATGGTGATGTTGATTCCTGGACAGACGTTGCCTCTTCAGCTTTTTCACCCTCAAGAGGTTAGCATGGTGCGGAATTTAATTCAGAAAGACAGAACATTTGCTGTTCTTGCATACAGGTAAAATACACGAGTGGATTTACTGCTGGTATGGAACATGTATTTTTAGTGCTGATTTCTTTGGACCCTAGATCAAAAGCAGATAGTTGCGTCCATTTTGTGGTATATAACAAAAGTTGAGGTTTGAAACTGTTAGACAAACTTCCAACGTGCAGTGAAAGGGATGTTGGGCAGCTGCATGACAGCATCAGAAAACCATTCCTTTTGTGTAGAGAAACAGTAAGTGTTGACTTGCTTTCCTTGTTCACACATTCTCTTGATTTCAGTAACTGTTTGAGTGCACTTCTGTACTTTGCTTTAAGAAAAAGCCTCAACTTGAAATACAAAAAATGAGATGTCTTGCTATGAGGACTTCATTGTCTTAAACATATATACTTGTGTATAATTTAACAAGCATAGATAACTGTTTAACATCAGAGTTGAGAGAAACGAGCTGATAGAACTGCAGAGAAAATAAAGGGTAATCTGTGCCAAAAGAGGCTGGTAATGTTCTTCCTTTCTACCCCAGTTTACTACAATTTAATTATGTGAAATATGGGAGCAGCTGTTTTTAGAAAGTCAATCTAAAGAGTTCTAGCACTTTCAGTGACTACATTTCAAATACATTTTTGATCCCTGTATTCCTAGAATCTCACTTCTACATGCTAAAATAAAACCAAATCTTCATCTTCAACAAAATAGAACTTACTTGTAAACAGGAGAAATAATGGTTGCAGTCAGTTTGAAGGTATTTAACCCAGTTTACTTTTTCAAATTGACTAAACATGGACAATTGGTGTAGGCAGAAAAACAAGTGAAATCTGAATGAACAGGGTTATTTGGAGCATAGGTAACCTGTTTTTTATTATTATTATTATTCTATTTTGCTTTAGTAATGCACGTGAAAGGGAAGCACATTTTGGAACAACAGCAGAAATATATGCATACCGAGAAGAGCAGGAATTTGGAATTGAAACTGTCAAAGTGAAAGCAATAGGGAGACAAAGGTTCAAGGTGCTTGAAATCAGACCTCAGTCAGATGGGTAAGAAAATAATTTAATTTTGCATGTTGCATATCCTGTCCTATCAGCACTTTGCATAGTAGACTGCTAAAATGTATAATACTTAATATCCTTCTGAAAATTCTGCCTTTTGTTGTTTTCACCAAGGCATTTACATTGTACTGCTTGTGAATCTACACTTTCAGTTGAACAAATGTTTAATTGGTATACTAATTATACAGTTGACCAGCAGCTCCTCTGGTTATTAAGGATTTCTGACATTTGCTCTTCTAAGACTCATATTTTAGTTGTTAGCAGCTTTTCTCTAGAATTTTCTAAAGAATGTCTTCAAATGGTGTGATTTGGTGCGTGTGTGTGAGAGAACATTTGTCAGAATGAATATGTTTCTGAATAAGGCAGGAGAAAATTGTTGATTTGTGTCAAAAATTGGGAAGTTTTCTTTTAGACTCTTTCAGATCCCATTTTCAATCCTGATGTGGAATGAGAGGAAGCTCCTTTATTAAGTTTATGCCTTCAACTATCTTTGTGAAAAGCCTCCCTGATACTGGCCAGATTCTGTGCCTCTGACGAACTGTAACTTGCATTTCTTTCCAGAGATGGTCTGCACTGGGCATGTACAACTTGAGCTGAGCGTGTTTATGTGCAGCTGCAGCTCTGAGCTGCTGCAGGCAAGGGGATGACACTGGAACTGTGAAAAATAAGCTTGTCCTTTTTTGTACTTTGTGAGATCTTTATCTACTGAGCCTCAGCAGTATGCAGAGGATTCAGCTGCATGGTTCAAGTACAGAAAGGATGTCATGGGGCCCCAGAGGGGTGGTGTTTTTCACAGGAAGCATTAGAAAAGTGGAGAACCGGAGACTGGTAATAATGGCAAGGAAACAAGTTACTTCTGAATTATTTTTCTTCATGAAGCTTTTCTGGTTTTTAGAGGCTAAGAGAGAGAGAGAGAACCTGAACTGGAACAGAAGTTGAAATGAGCTCATACTAAATATTGTTCAGGCTATCAAAGGCAGCTATGCCCACAGTGATAAAAGAGGGTTAGCTCTGAGATCCTTTTGAAATGGATGCTCCCTGGCTGGTGGCTGCGCTAACACCCCTAGACAAAAGCATTCCAGCTTCAGTGTGGGAGCTCTTCTAAATATGAGGCATCCAAACCTCACCTGCTATTTCATCTTCCTTCTCCTGCACTGCATTTGTAATCTATGCAAGTGCTGGTGAGGAGCACACAGCAATTGCATAATTCCATGTTCCCTTCTGTCAGCTGTTCTGTGCTGTGTTGCCCTTCGTTCTCTAGTGCTGGGGCAGAAAAAAAGTCTGGAAGGGATAAGAAAGTAGACTGTGCATTGGTATCTAGATGGGCTTTGGTTTGCAAGGAGTAAATAAAATAAATCGACCTTCATACATGATGAGTGTAAGATGAACATAGTGTTCATGTTGAATGTGAACAGAGGAGGAGGGGAAATTTTTTCAGTATTTGTCCTTTTAGGGATTTAAATCTTTAATATTATGTAGCAAAGATTTTTATAGTCTGTGAAGCAGACAGCTTATATATACATAAATTCCTGTTTGTCTCTCCATCCTGTTGCCCCCAGTAACCTTATGAACTTCTTGGCCTGTTTCAGCCATGTTTGACAAAACAAGATCTCAAAGATGATTAAGCTTCTACAGGGCTCATGAAAATTCATGATCGGGTCCATGGAGGAGATTAATTTAGTCTTGGAAAGACTTTCTCTGGACTTAGCTAATACTCTGGTGTGCTGCTAGTCAGTCTGGATATGTGTGGGCTGACTGGCCAGCACAAACTTGTAGCTCAAAACCAGGCACAGTATGTTCTGCTGTCACCAGCCTGTAACGAGGAGACACAGAAGGGATGCTGCTGCTGTAGAAACAGGGGAAGAAGAGAGGTTTTAAGGGGTGTTGTTAAAGGTAGGATTTTTTTACTGCCTGACTCAGTTGGCTTCCTTTTGGTGTCTTTTCCTGAGATTATTTTGCCACAAATAATAAATTCTGGTTTTTGTTTTTTAAGCACTGTTGCAGTTTCGTACACACTTACCTTCTGCAAGTCTTACCTCTTCCATTCTGACCCAGCTCTCACTGTTCACTGCTGCTTATGGGCAGCTGCTACTTCTCCTCTTACTGGTTGGCAGTTCTTTTCATGCGCTTCTTACAGCAACCGCTGTCTCCAGTCAACTTCAGTAGTAGACTTCTGCCTTGCTCCAAGCCCCCTTTCCATCTTCCAGTGTGATGCCAGTGATATGGAAGAATTTGCTAGGGGAGGCCATTACCCAGCCTCCAGGTAACTAGTGCCCTTGTCCATTATGAAAGTGAGCATGACCTTTAACAGTTAAGGATACATTTTGTCTCTGGTCATCAGGAGCTCAGCAGTCTGAACTTAGCATTTTCTTGTGTTTTAAAAACATGCAGCTAAAGAAATGAGGAATACCTGTGTTACTTTGCTATTCTTCACCATCTAACCCCTTGGTTGCATGTGACATTCTGAATTTTACAGCTGAGAAAAGCTATTGTCTGAACACAAGATGGCAGTGTTTGGATAACTACAGTAGCAGTGGCATTGTTTTTGAGAATTCAGTGTCTGCAACAGTGAGATGTACTTTGCGTTTGTTCTGCTGTTAAAACATTTTATTATGACACTTTTGCATCTGCAGGCTGGGAAAGGTCACTCTTAAACAGCATGTTTGCAAGTTTCATTCACAAGTGTGGATTTTTAAATGTTTGAAGGCAGGTGGGATTTAGTTTCTAATCGAGGCAGACTGTTTTTTTTGGAATACATTAAAATATTCAACTTTCAAATATTAGACCTCTTGTGGGCCTTAAGATCTTACGATAGTGTGATTTCCAGGAGATTTAATGTAACTTTGAGGATATGTTCTACTTAGAAATATGTTTTCTACACTTAGACTGAAAATAGCTGTTTGTTTTCTATTACGATAGTGCCAAATGAAACTCTGCCAGTTGAACTTTCAAGCCATAATTAGCTATTAAAAAAGAACAAAGAAAAACAAGTCACATGAAGTAATTATCACAGACCAAAGTATTTTATTTTAGTTTTCTTTACAACGTGGTTATTCAGCTAAACATATACTTAGAAGTAAATCTGAAGGTTTTCACTCACTTGAGTAATCCTGTATGGGTTTTGGTACTTATGTATGTACTGCCTGGGTTGGGAAGCTCCTTGTCAGTAGACCTTGGAATCCCTGTGGATACTCTGTGCTTCTGTACCAACCTGCTTTACAGAACCTCCTGTCCTAGTAGTGATTAGTCAAGTTGAATCTCTTTAGTGTTCTTAGTATGCTTTGGAGACGTGAGCAGATGTTCTTCAGTTTGTGCCGAGGAAATGATCTTCTCTGCAGGTTATTAGACATTCTCCAGACTCCTGTCCTAGCAAACTAATTTTCTATCAGTGAGCTGTTTCAGGAGCCTGGTAGTGTAGCAGTTCGGTTCCACTTTTGTCCGTACGTTGGAGATGGCATAAAAATCATGTTATGTTCTCTCTGTAAAAATAAAGCATTCGTGTAGAGACCCTGGTTCCGGTTTTCCTACTGCTTTTGTTAGGTGCTTTGAATACAAGTGTCACTGGTCTAGCAGACGTTTTGATAAAGAAGGAATGCCACCAATCTTCATAGCAAAAAAACAGTTTGTCATCATTCTTGGTGTTTCTAATTACCATGTGCTTATGGCAAAGTGCAAATTTCTTATTTATAGTAAGTTAACATAGTTTAGTGACAAACTGCTTTCTGCTTTCTGGGGGCAATTGCTGGTTTCTGTCAATGAGGGTGGCTGTTTCAAAGCCCTGGTCTCAAGGCAGTGTTAACTGATAGTCGTTTCATGGTCTGACTCAGGGTTTTTGATTTTTTTTTTTCTTCTAACTTTCTAGTGGAGATGCAGATGCTTTTGTAACGTGTTTTTTAATCCAACAGATGATAAGTTTGCCTTTCTGTGCTGCCTTACGAGTATTCCTCAGATACCTAGAAGTTGAGAGAGCACGTGCTGAAAGACATAGGCTGTGGTAATCATTCTAGTAGCAACCCAGAAGATCATCCTACTTTGGCAGTTAAGGCAAGTGGCGTAGGGAGATTCGCTTTCTGAGCACAGTGGCTTTCTATCAAAAGACAAATTACTCCCTCCTAGGCCTGCCAGGCTCTTTTTCTTCTTTCCGTATCTAAAATAATGCAAGAAGCTTACCAAAGATGTGACATCTGCCCTGACACTTTTATCAGTGGTGTCTTTGGAAGATATCAGACGTATGGGCAGAGGGGGAGAGTAGATCTCCCTCTGTCTTCACAGACATGTGATGGACAGTGACTTCTTCCACCACTCTTCTTCCCTACTCCATCTTTACTTCCCATTTTTTCAATTTTTTATGAATAGGTACTGGAATCCTCCTTTTTTGCCTAAAAGGAAAGGTGTGTGAATGCCTCTCTTGGATTTTAAATGTTTAAAGGCTTTCAGAATGCTATTTGAGACGCAGAATGGTTTTCATGTTACTATTTGGCTTCCAAGTGATACTGAGAATATTTTAGAGTTGTCTTAGCTCAGTGTTGTAGCTCATCTGTATCATCGAGATTTGTAAATGTTATTGTTACCAGGAGATTGTGAAATTAAGAGAAGTCTTGAAGTTGCAGTTTGGTTACAAAATAAATTAGGAAAGAGGTTAGCATCTAACCAGACTTTTTAGAGCCAAATTGGAATCCATATTGGCAAAAGTACAGCCGTCTCTTGAAGACCTAAAATAATGACCTGTCATATCAACCAGCTGTAGCCAAGACATTGAACATGAGATTGTGAATTTTTGCATCATAGCAAGACACCAGTTTCACAGTCTGCAGGTATGACTGAGAACAGCTGATCTGTAATCAGTCTAGAGGTATTCCTTAAAATGTATTCTTGCCTCTTCATTAATAGAAAATTAGAGAGGTGGTGTAAGAACAACTTTCCTTTCCACTTCTGTTATTGGTAGTTCTAGAAGCATAGTCACATACTTGAGAATTCTGTAGGGTTGCATGTGGGATTCAAAGTTACAGAATTATTGCTCAAAATCAGCATTCTGGGTGGTGTTCAGAACATAGAAACACTTCCCAGCATTTCTTTAAAGCAAGTTCATGCAAAGTTACATTAGGGAAAGTGACCAGGGCTCGTGGGTGAGTGCCCTAAGTATCAGTGATTCAGTCAGTGTTTGAGTAGACTTAGTGATTTGTGAGCCTGATGAAGTAAGAAATGCCTGAAATTTTGCCCCAAGGAAAATGAAACCCAGGCATTTTAAATTCAGTGGTTGGGCTAATTAATTCTGATTAATTCTGTTATTTGCAAGAGTCATCTGTTAAGCATCCTACACTGTAAAAGCATTTACATAACTGCAGCCTCGTTTAGTGAAGTTTCCAAGGCTTTCTGACCTGAAACTAGTGCTATTATGAGTTTGGTTGTCAGAACCCCACAAGCTGGCAGTGAGGGCTGTTAGCATGAGCTTGTGGGCACGTTGTTTGCAGAGGGTCGAGAATACCAGGGCTTCTATAGACTGGGTTAATAGCTGTTGCCAGCAAGAATTTTAGTGTCTTGGCACATGGGCATTGCATGCATCTATAGTGAATATGAAGAGAGTGTGCTTCAAAGATCTCTGGCTACTGCAAAAAAAATCATTTTCAGTGTTAATCCTGCCTGTAAGTACACTTGCAAATTTATAAAGAGGTGTCTTAATATTTCAGGATTTCTGATGCATGATAACTGTTGAAAATGTAAACTCTTTCTTACTAGAGACAGCAGCTACTTGACTATGTGGAGTAGGTGACCTGGTTGATACTAGGAGATTAATAAACGATCAGAGTCTCTATCCTGTTTCTGCTGATTCTGAACTCGGGCTAGGCACATAAGCTTTTGTAGCTTGATGATAGCAAACTGCACTTCAGCCAGTTGTCCTTTCTGGGGGTTTGATATGTGTTAACTGGGTATTAGCTTAATACCAAAAGCAACTCGAAGAGACAAAAATCTAAAAATACAGTGCTGAGATATCAGAATATTCTGCTGTGCAGCCACTGCCTATCTGTCTTTAATTCTTTCTGCCACAATCCCAACTGATAACCTGTCTCCTAAAATATAGAGACAGCACATTGTACCCCATGGAAAAGGAAGTTAACTGTGAGAGGAAAAAACAGCCAAGTGCTTTAGGCTGAAGAAGTTAAACCAGTGATTCCTTTTAAAATTCTGTGTGCCAGTGCAAAAATACTTGGTATTGGTAAATAGATCATCCTGATTTTTAAAGGAGAATGAAAAGTAAGGCTGAAGAGTCTTTAATGTTCCTACCTTCATCTCAGGTCAGCACAAAGGCTTTCAGAATTTAGCCAGTGTCATGAGATATTCCGTATATTACAATAGTATTTGTTTTATTACAAATATACTGTATGTTTCCTGAGGTAATTTGATTTATGTTAGTACAGTTGTAAAATCTGATGAAATGGGTTCCTGTTTGAATTCCGTATCACCATGTAGCAGCTTGATCTATTGCATATGCCCATGTTTTTATAAGCAGTAAAATCCATTTTCGAAACTCGTGTGTGTGTACATCTCTCTCCTTTTTTTGTTCTTCCTTTTTTCCCGCTTTATCAGAATCCAACAGGCTAAAGTACAAATCCTTCCTGAACGGGTGCTGCCTTCAACAATGTCAGCAGTGCAGCTGCAATCTCTCAACCGATGCCACATATTTCCTTCTTCAAAACCTGCATCACGGAAGGACCGAGCTGTACATCAGTGGTGGCAGAAATATCAAAAGGTCAGAAGCTAATTGTGTTTTTTATTTTTTATTTTTGATGATATTTCAAAAATCGATATAAAATTCCATCTGTGCATCTTTAGAGGAAGATGAACAAACTGGGATGCTAAGATGTCAGCTTCCTGCTTTTGCTGGAGTTTGTGAGATTTTTTTTGTCTGTTGCAGGTAACTGGGAAGCAAACATTTTGTTTTATGAGTTCTACTAGATTTTAATTACAGTATTTTTACTTTTTAGAGAATCAAATTGTGCATGTATATCTTACAAAACTAGTTGTAAGGTATAATGACTAAACAGGAAAATTAGAGCTGTTCTACTGTAGTTGCATGTCTTTTTCCTTTCTGAATGTGTTTATTTGGGAATATTAGTGTTTTTAAGACCAGTGAGGTTATAATGTTTGCAGATATTTATGTTGTCAGTTAAACAAACAGACTGGGAAGGCTAAAAATCTGGGTTTTAGAAAATAAATAATCTTCAGTAAATCATCAGTAAAAGATAGTCATGAGACCGTCAAAGTATTTTTATATATATAAAAACATATATCTTTATTTTTGTTTGTGTGTGTATGTATATGTGAGAGAGAGAGAGATTAAACATTATGGTTACCCAACGGTAATTGTTCAGCTCTGAGAAGTACCTTCTGGAACTCCTAACTTGTTTATATATCATTGATATTTTTAGTTAAGTTTTTAACAGATCTGTTCCCCATTTAAAAAGTGTCATTGTATGCCTTTTGAATTCATATACGTCGGCTTAAAATACCTGATCTGTCTCATTAATCTCCTTATTTTACTTATTCATTCATTTGACCAAATTGATATGAAATAACATAATCACCTTACATAATGGATGATTTTCTGTAGTTGTTGAAATAGCGACGGTTGATGGAAACTAAAGAATAGATGTGCTATTTAATACTGCTTGAATATGTGAACTGTCTAAATTTGAGATGGATGCTCTTTTGAAAGGCATAATATCTTATTATTAAACATAAATGTCCTTTTACTGCTGAGAGAGCTTTTGTGAGAAAATCTGTATGTTGTCTGTCTTGCACTCTATGTATTTGCAAAGTGCTTTGGAAGCCTCCTGTGGAAGTTCCAGTTCTGATGGTGATGATGTGTTATGTCTTTAAAGAGTTGGATATCTTCTTGGTTTTATTATTTGAACAAGATCTGTGGGTAATGCCTGCCATATTTAAGAAATAAAAATGTGTTTTGGTTTTAGAGGAAGTTTCACTGTGCAAGTTTGACATCTTGGCCTCCCTGGCTCTACTCTTTATATGACGCTGTAAGTTCATACTAAATATTACCAAGTAATCTACAATTAATTTTGTATGTTTTCGTACAAAACAAGAAATCTTTAATTTAATGGGATAGAAGGTTGTATTTTAAACAAGAGCATAGTTTTTAGTTTACTGCTAAAAGAACAGGAGAGGTTCTTCCTCTGTATAGCTGGTATAGGTGGGTAGAGGTATAGGTGTATAGGGTGGATAGAGGGGTGGATAACAGAGATTTGGGTCCTTACTGTGTCGTCTCAGAACAAAAACTTGCTCCAACTCTAGAGTTGTTTTGCTTTTAAAAAATGGTATTTATATACATATATATATATATATGTATGTATGCAAAAGAAAGCAATTGGTGTAAGAGAGGGAGAAGTATGGAGAAGGCTAGTCCTGCTCTGGTTCACACTGTCCTGGCATTTGAACACTTGTCTGCTTATCTCAGGTGAGAATTATGACTGCCTAGCTGTTGGTTGAATCTGGCCTATTTCCCACCTTGTTTTGCATTTAGTTTAAAATACATGAATATGAGGTGAATATGTAGTTACTATAAGTTTTAAGAGCACCTAGGGCAAATAGCTTACTCTACATTTTGCTTCCTTTTTTTGTTTTTAACAAAACAGAAATACCTATGTATTTAAATAAGGCTTTTCTTCTAACAAAAGGAAACCTTGATGGAAAGAGTCAAGAGGCAGCTACACGAATGGGATGAAAATCTTAAAGATGAATCTCTGCCAACAAACCCAATAGGTATGATGTTCTTTATCTTGTGAACTTAAATTTGATTAAGAAAAGAAAAAGAACAGGTCTCCTTTTTTTAAAACAAACAAACAAAAAAACACACACACACACAAGGCTTATTTTGTTGGTAATTCATCCCTCACTCCCAGTTTCCAATAAATTTTGATGTCTGATTTCAGCCAGATTTGACAAAAGGAAGATATATCTCTTGGAAGTCATGCAGTTCATCTGAGTTTTACGAAACATGTAGGAGAAACAGAGTCTATTGTGCTTTCTGTAGGGAGGAATACAAAGTAAATGCTTCATAAGAAAATGAACCAAAAGCATACTGGATTTTTATTATTATTAAATGAGTCCAAGTGGTTTTGCTTATGTAATCTCTTGGTGCTTACCTCTCATTACCCTTGATAAGGCATGAGAGCATTCATGAGGGAACATGGCCTCAGTAACCGCATCACAATAAAGTTTTACGTTTCAATCTGTAACTGAGTATAAGCAGTAGTTTTGATTTCTCTCTCGCATTCTAACGGGCCTGGTACTTCTTCATTTCTAGATTTTTCTTACAGAGTTGCTGCCTGCCTGCCTATTGATGATGCATTACGTATACAGTTGCTAAAAATAGGTAGTGCTGTCCAGAGACTCCGATGTGAATTAGATATTATGAACAAAGTGAGTATTTTCCTTACCTGCCGTTTACTTTGAATAGCTCTTACTGAAAAATGTGAGTGATTACAATAATTTATAAAGAAAATGTTTAAAATTTGTCTCCTAATAGTTTTAGAGCATGATTTTGGGAATTGTTTTATTTTTTCCTTCCTCCTTTTTTTTTTTTTCAAGAAATATAATGTTGCGACTAGATTTCATGTTTAACTGCAAGCAAGAAAATTAAAATAATGTTTGCTTTTGTTAGAAACTGTGTTTCAACACCTTACTGCACTGTCGTAGCCAAGAGATGGTGCTAGAAGTCTTATGGAGCCTGTACTAATGTTTTAAAGATAAGGATGCCACACTGCCAGTATAATACAAAACAATCGAGTAGCATTGTACCACGAAAAATTGTGAATTTCATAGCTCATTTCTACAAAGATTTATTTTTTGCTATTGAGTATACATCTAAATAAATATTAGGCAAAATGACTTTTAATAAGACATGTAGTGCCTTGTTAAGTCTCTTTATGCTGATTTAAAATTTGTCTTGTCTTCCTTGAATGTTCTTCTTCCCAAGACTATGTAACGCTCTAAATTTAGAATATTAAAATTTTATTTTCACATGGTAACATTTCTCTAAAATAAATATAGTATTACACATTGTAAGTCTGATGCAATTAAGTACCAATCAACTTGCTATTGAATAAATCTCTTCTAGGAGCAGCATTTGCTATAACATCTTGCAGCATTTCCAGTAGTGGATCAGATTGCTGCTCCCTATTTCAATTTTCAGTACGTGCTATTTGAATGGACAGATGAATGTTGCCTCAGCCCAGTCCTAGAGGGTCGTGTATTTATATCTGCAACCCTAACTGACTGTCACCTTGCTGGTTGACAGTTGCTACTGGTTGTTGGGGATACCCCAGTCCTGCCTGGTGCTGGTGTTGTGCTTTTTTGTTGGAAGCTTTGCCTGTTTGCCTGCAAGCCTGTGTCTGGGGAAAAGAGAGCTGGGGATTCTGTTTGATGCTTTCTCCTCTTCCCAGAGCTCTTGCACAAAAACTCCAGACGGGGGTGTGCAGAGAAAAGGAGAGAGAAAAGAGCTTCTCTTTCAAATTGATAAAAACAGGTGTTTTCATATGAGCATTTGTAACCGTGTTACATTTCATTGTCATTTCACTGCTCCAAGAGCTGGGAAAAAAATCTAAAATTCAGATACTTCGCAGAACTGTGGCTGATCAGTATATTATATATTTCATAATATATATATTTTATATATATATTCATATATATTTCATAAATTTCAAAGAGACTGGAACACTTAAATTACTCTTACAAAATTTAAGGTAAAGTTGATTTTAGTCCACAACTTTTCTTTCTCTGGAAGTGTTAAAGAAGTGTTTTCTGCATCGACATGGAGTATTGTGTAAATGTTTGTTACAATATTTAGGGAAATGTTTAGTGTAAGAATGGTAAGTACATTATATTTTAGGCAGTTTATCAACATTTAATGTGAACAAATCCACTCTTAAAAAAAAGTAAGGGGTGCTCTGGCATTCCTTTAAAATTCCTTACTTTTAGAGGAATGTGTGTCGCTCACAGGTATAACACTTCATGAATTCTGCTTGCAAGTGCTAATTGTAGTAACCAGATTTGGAAACAGAGGGATAGAATTAAGTCGCTGCCTAAATTGGATTCTGAGAGGGATATGTGAACATAAGATCACAGTCTGCAATAAGGGTGATTAAAGTGAGAGAGCAGAGATTGTAGGCATTAAAGGTCACTGCTGGGAGAGGAAGGCCAGCTGAGCTTTAGGATGGCAAGTAAAGCAAATTGGCCTATGATTAATAGTATCTGTGCACAGCACAGCACTTTTTCTTCCTTCGATCGCAAAGATCCGTAGTGAGTGTGTTGAAACTGGGGGGCAGAACCAGAGCAGCCCACAAGGAAAGGAGCTGGAGGAAGCAGAAACTCAGCAACCAGAGAAGCAGAATGGAGGGAAAGAAAGGCTGGCAAATACCTGTGTAACATCACAGTAACAGGGTAGGAGGCAGAACTCGGGAAGAATCAGGAACACAAGCTGTGATTTATTTGAATTTTTAAAAGGAAATGTGCTCACGCAGGGATTTTTCCAAGTAGAGATCCCTGAAGCAGCATTTTCTTCCAAGATAAGGTGGATCCTTGACAGAATTTCACATGCATTATCCCTAAAAAGAGGTAGAGCTATTGTACCTCCCAAGAATGTATAGTTAAGTATTCTACCAAGCTCACTTAAATATGTATTTTCTGGGCAATATCAGTGATGATTTTTCCTACTTTCTAGAAATTGTAGGAGATAAATTTGTGTCTTATAATTCTTAAGAGAAAGATTAATACGTGTTACTTAATTTTCCTGAGGAAATAAGTCACTGATGTACACTACAGAATTCCCAAACTTCAGAAGTTTTGTAAAATCATAATGATTGCATTTGTACTCATCCATCTTTTTTTCTGTTTTGTCTTAGAAGACCAACAGCTTTTAGTTTCCGAATTAGCTTTTAAAGACCTTACAAAGTTGATTCATTTATTATAGTTGTTTAATCCATACCTCTTGTTTTTGTGAATCCTTAAAAAATAATTGTAAATAAAAACTGTGTTTTTCTTTTAGAGAACAATTCATACTTAAATAAATACATAAAAAGTATGCTTTAGTATCAACAGAAGAAGTAAGTGACTACTGAACAGATTGGAAAAGGAATTGATAGAAAGTCTATTCTGAGAGAAGGAAAGAAATTTTTATTATTTGCCACTGTGCTGACAAGTGTCTGAAAATGAATGAAATTATCCTCTTTTTTTCTTTTCCAGTGTACATCTCTCTGCTGTAAGCAATGCCAAGATACAGAAATAACAACCAAGAATGAAATATTCAGGTGGGTTTAATGCTCTTGATCCTTGGGAGGTTCTTGATCAGAACTGTTGACACAGCAAACCAGATTAAGCTAGGATAGAGGTATTGCAATTTCCATGCTTTCATAAAATCTAAATACACATTTATATGGAATTTTCTTTATAAAACAAGTTTGTTTATTTAAGCTTTTTTTTTTTTGATAAAAAAGTTAGTAAATCCAAACATAACCCAAACCACATATATTGCAGTAGAAGTTAGTGTGAAAGGCTGTGTTTTGTCACCGAGTCCATGTTTCCGCTGAAGAGTTATGCACTGTTGTGGTGAGTTTTAGAATGTAAGAAGTTTGTTAGATATAAAATTCGGGTTCTTCTGAATTCGATTCAGAAATAATAGCAAAGAAAAAAAAATCATGCTGAACAGGGCGTTCCAACTTTCTATATGTCTGCAAGCTTGGACAGCAGATTAACATGTACTGATTGTGTGACTCCCAGAATACTGTTATATGAGGAAATTGGCTGTTTTTGTCCCTAAGCCTTCTGATCCCTCTCTTAATATGAGGTTATATGATTTAGTTCTAGCAGCTGTTCTGGGCAGTGTGTTCCCATGATATATTGGACCTATACAATATCCTCCACGTTAACCCGTGATAAGACGATTCGTTTTCCAAATGATTGCTATTTCTGGCAGGCTTGTCCCCGTTTTCATCTTGAATAACTAAAATCTGTCCATCACCTGTGTCAGTGTGAAGGTGAAAAGATGCCTTGGCTTAAGAAAGCAAGTCTCCCCGCAGTTTTCCTTATCAGAGTGATCAGGCCTGATGGAGTCATTAAAACTTGTTTCTTAACTTCCCTTTAAACAGTGGATTCCAGAAACCACAATTTCTCCTGCATTAATATAGTATATGTCAGCAAATGAACAAAGAGAAGTTAGTCTGGTAAATGCACGTTTTTCCTATATTAAAATCAGATTTAAGAGTAGGAATAGAGAGACTGTGCTTGTTTTTATTGGAAGCTGCTTGAATTCAGCTTGAGTTTCTTCCTGGAGCTCCCTCAGCAGTGTCGTTTCCGTGTCGCAGTTTGTCGCTGTGCGGCCCCATGGCCGCGTACGTGAATCCGCACGGATACATCCATGAAACCCTGACGGTCTACAAAGCCTGCAACCTGAACCTCAGCGGCCGACCATCCACAGAGCACAGCTGGTTTCCTGGGTAATGCCATTAAAAGAAACCTCAGTGGTAAACGACAGAAACTTAGCTGTAAAAGTATTCCTGCAACTGTAGAGTAATAAATAGATACATTTTGAAACATACGCAGTCATTGAGCGCACATGAAAAAATTGAAAGTTACTGTAGACCTTCCGTTAGTACAAAATTAAAATAGAAGATTGAGGTAAAACTTGCAGAATTTCTCTTGAATCTCTTAAATCTGTGAAAGCTTTAAGATTTCAAATCACAATCTGGCACCTGAAAACTATACAGAGGATGCCAATTCTCTTAGAGTTTTTTTATATTTATATAATTCACTACTCAGTTTTCATGCAGCTTTTTTTGATCAGAAAGTATTTTAAGTGCACACAGGAAAAGTAATGCATAAATGCAGTTATTCTACTGAAATATCTTTTAGATCCATAACCTGACTTTCTGTTACATTTGTTTAAAATTGTTAATATTTTATTTACATTAACTTTCATTATAAATAGTCTTGCTGTCTGACACAATAGCAGAATTGTAAAGATATAAAAGTCTGCCTAATAATGAAAAATCTGGCATCAAAATGTCACCATCTCTGGTTGCTAAATTTTAGGTTTTGACTAGTTAAGAACGCTTCAGGCACACCTCTAAAATTTGTACATTTAATCTCTAAAAAAATCTGAAATGTCAAATTAAATTATATTTGAATTATAGTTTCACAAAAATATTCCTTGAATATATTTATCACAGCGTTTATATTTTATATTGTCTTTGTTGTTGTTGTTCTAATGTCAGGAATTATTCTTCTGTCACACTTTACTTGCCTGTATCAGTCTGTTTGCTCTGTCCTGGTCTCTTTGCAAGCGACCAGTTCTCTCCTTACGGGTGAAGCGGTAGGTGGCTCAATGCGTGTCCGAGGTTCTTGGCTCTGCCTCCACTCGTGTGTCCTCGTGCTGGAGTGGGTTTGCCTGGACGACCCTGCAGTGCTCAGGGATGAGGTGAAGGTCAGCAGGGTGTCTGGCATCTGCCATAAGAAATGCCACGTTTAAAGACTCCCTGAAGAAAACCTGTGCCCTGTAATATCTGGAGTCCATTTGTCTTGTCCTTAAATTTTCTTAGTCCTTTTCTTCTTTAGGGTTGGTTTTTTTGGCTGAATTTTTTAGAAATCTGCAGGGTTTGTAGGTGGGAACTGGACCCCTGTCCAGCTTGTCCACCAGAAGCTGTGGTGTTCCCATCCCAGTGGCCAAGCAAACGGTGTTCTAGGGTTTACAAGATGTCATCGTGTATAAGGTGGCGTGAACCCCTCGTTTTGTTTCCTCTAGGTACGCGTGGACTATAGCCCAGTGCCGAATCTGCGGGAACCACATGGGCTGGAAGTTCACAGCTACCAAGAAGGAGATGTCCCCTCAGAAGTTCTGGGGGCTGACGCGCTCTGCTCTCCTGCCCCGGATCCCAGAGGGAGAGGACGAATCAGGCCACGACAGATCGCCGCTGCTCTGCTTGTAACCTCCTCAGCTGCTCTGAAACGAGCCGGGGTCTGTCTCTCGCACCCCTCTGCTCAGTTCTGCTTCTGATGCTTATTTTAAAAAACGAGATCCGCCCCCCACACGAAAAGCAAACAGCCAAGCAAGCAGGCATGGCCCCGTTCAGGCTCAGTATGCACACATTGCTGTTGTTTGAGACACACTGGGAATTGCAGGTTGAACCTTTGGAGAGGCAGCTTGGCACAGGAGGTAGCGTGAGACACCAGGAGGGGCGTCTGGCTCATCGGGACAGGTTTGACTCTGAACTTGCCACTTCCATGTGTGATTTAGGAAGGTATTTACTGCTGCTGATCTGCAGTGAAAGAAGGGCAGGGGGACTAAAATTACAGTTAAGGTATGATTTATGCAATTTCTGGGTGATGATAAATCCCAGCCGTTCACTGGAATGTTTTCCCACAGTACCCTTAGTGGTGATGCAGAGAATCCATTTCTAACTGTGTGTACTACTTCCAGTTTTATGCCCGTGCTGATTCTCAAGTATTCACTGAACGACCATCAAAGAAAGCAAAGGCTGAAATCTCTATTCCAAGGGGTATGGTCCTGATGGCAGAAGCAAGGGCTTTCTGCTGCCCGCAGCCAGAGCACTTCCATCACACAATTCCCTTTGGAAGGAAGCTCAGATGAGGTGTTCGGTCTTGTCACCTGATGTACTTGGCATGTTTGCCTTTAGCTATCTTTTAATTTTTTAATTATTTAAACTAAATACACAGGTTGATCCCAGTACATAAGCTCTATTGTCATTGCCTGTTAATGTGTTTGCAGTTAACTTTTCAAGTGAGTTCTGTAAAGCCTCGTTTGCTGTGCGGCTGCCCAAGGTTGTGTGAAGTACTCTAAAATAACTGACTGCAGACTTCTCACCACTACATAGCTTGGCAAGGTGGAGGCAACATCACCTTTACTATTCTTTTTTTCTTTCACACTTTTCATATCATAAGGCGAAATGTTGTGTTGTTACCACACTCACCTGGCAAATGGCAAAAGTTACTAAATAAAGCAGTAATAAAGGGCATTGGGGTGTTGTTTTAGCCCCCGAGGTGCTGTCTGTGCTGCAGAAAGGGGTGCCAAAAGGGGGCAGCCTTTGCTGCTAATTTTTTCTCCTCTGAATGTACTTTGCTAGAAGCTGAAGACAACAGATTTCTGCTGTATGTGTGTGTCCATACATACTTTTTTTTCTCCCTCTTTTGATGCTTTTTCATTCAGTCTGTTTCTCCACTTAAGTCTTTGAGAACTCGTGTTGTTAGAATGCCACAAAAAACACTTCAGACGAACGACTTCTTGCTCCATCCCTTCCTCATGCGAGCATCAAATGTGCTGTAGCAGGGACAGGTTTATGCAGTGAAAGGCTGAACTGGAGCATCTCTTAAAAGACAAGTAGGTGATTTAAATGGTAATGTGGTGTCTGTTGAAAGCTGAAGAAGATGCAGGTGTGAGAGGAGGCTAGAAGCTGAAAGGCTGTTTGGATACTTGTCTGTTAGATGCATAGAAACGAATGATTGTGCAACTCAGGTTTAGTTCTTTGGAGCCTTCTACCTCTGTGCTTCTGTGATAACTGCTGTTCCCTCCATAGGCATCTTCACCACGTGTTTAATTTTGTGTGCAGTGCTCGGACTTGCCAGTGCGCTGTGAAAAGCAATACTTCTTTTAATATAATTCTGAACATGCAGAGGGTGAACGATGGCTCCTTTTCTGAAATAAAACACTCTGTATTTTGTTTATTTTTCTCTAATAAGCTTTCAGAAGACTAAGCTGATAGGCAGTAGTGTGGAAGAGTGAGAGACTGTGAAACTGTAACCACTGGACGTGTTTGTGGGGCTCCCCCTCGCTCCTTGCACACGCTCTTGTGCCTGCAAACACCCAACGCGGCTTGGTTGCAACTTGGTTTGTTTTCCCCCAAGATTTAGGCATAAGTTCAGGTATAGTTTGACGTTCCTCCCCTTTCCATTCATCTTACACGTTCTCTGAGGGTAGGGTGAGTGATCTGAATGTTTTCTCAGCTATCGCTGAACCTTGAGGTGTTCTGGGTTTTGGCCAGGTCTCTCAGATTGCTTTGATTAAAACTGATGTTATGGTGACGATATTTGAACACAAAATAGGCATATTTTTGTTATTGTGTACATACAGTCAAATGTAAACTAATATAATCAAGTGAGATAAGTCAGAAACAAATTTAACGCTTACTTTAGTGTTGATGATGCTTTTCCCATCTGCCTGATCCTCTGTATCGTGTTTGCCATTACAAAGTTGACGGCACTTTCTGGGTTGAAAAGCAGCGGGATTGGCGGTACCCGGATGCCCTGGAACTTCCCGCTCGGCAGCCGTGGAACAGACCCACGCGACGGGCGGCGGTGGGAAGGGCTCTGGGCATCGCTCCGTGTTTCTATTCCTCTTTTTTTAAAGAGAAAACTGCTGGGATTGTTGGCATTGCTGACACGTATGGATAGCAAATGCTTCCGCGGGCTGAGGACAAAGGGAAGGGGCAGTTTGTGCAAGTAACTGCTTGGGCTGCAGGTGCAGGCGGAGGTGCCGGTTGCTCCCAACTCTTTCTCTTTTCCCTGCCCTAATCCCTGTGTCCCTGGGAGCCATGGAAGTTGCACAGACAGGTCTGGGAAGACACGCTTCTAACACACTTTCTAATATTGTACTTTTTTTTTTTCTTTTTTAATAATGATGTTATTTTTGTACATACTGCAGTTCTTGTTTTTTTCCCCTCGTTATTTTTCCAGCTGTGTTCCAGTGCTCTGTGAAAGCTCTCCCTTTGTCCACCCCTGGAGACGACTTTGCAGAAAAAAACCCTTGATGCTTGCACATGTTTGCTAAGAATAAAACTCAGTCTGTTACCGAACTTATCCGAGCAATTTGTTCGTTTGCCAAGTGATGAGATGGGAAGAAGGGCAACCTTTGTTTTTGTTTTCTTTTTTTGTCTTTTAATTCTGTTAGCTTCAAAAAGTAACATGTGTGCAAGGAGCTTCTGCCTCTTGGATGCCCCTTGGGTACCCTTGGTGCCTGGACCTGCCCCAATTTCAGCCTCATGGGCAAAGTTGCCTCACTGCCTGTTCCGGCCATGGCCAAATTGAGCTGGATTTGGCAAAACAAGATGCACAGAGGCCCGGGAGTGCTTAACACACCCAGAGTCCCTGCGCTGAAGCTGCACTGCTGAGAGCGCCACCGGGATATAAGGAAAGCAGGTGTCAGAGCTTTAAACCCTTGTCCCTAAACAACCCATATAGCATGTATGTGTTGGGCTTTGCTGACGGCTCATAGGAAAGGGCACCCACATGAACACGTCCCCTTGGAGCCGGGTGACACTTCTGGGAGGGGGCAGGAATCGCCACGGTCTAGCTGGAGCATTCCCCCTATTCCATGGGGTTGGGGCTGCTTTGCTGACGGCTCATAGGAAAGGGCACCCACATGAATGAGCTCCCTGCCGGAGCGTTGGATACCCAGCGGGATCACCCCGGGCTTTATTGCATCCATAGGGAATCACACAGGGCTCGAGTGGGTGATTGAAGTGCTGGACTCGGAGAAAGGAAATACGACTGTTAGTGCCCGTGGAGAACACGTGGGGCTGAAGGCCACGTACAAAGGTGTATATATGTATACAGGGTGGAGAGAGACACACACACACATACATGCTATATATTTTGTTTAGATCTTTGTACTGTGTGTGCATATATCACACACTATGTGTGATATATATCACACATGCATGGTGGGCATAGGCGGTATAAAAATGTGGACACATTGGACACTGTGGACACAAATGTGTCTATACATACATATGTGTGTATACACACCTACACATATATATGTGTGTGTGTGTGTGTGTGTATATATGTACACTTAGCGCCCCGGCCCAAAGCTTATACAGATATATGTTGTTTAGTTCCTGGTATACAGTAAAGTCTCTCTCTCCCACTTCCCCCCGCCATGATGTACATATATACAATTCGGCATACCTAGCCTATTTACCTTGCTGTATATATGAACACATACACATATATGCTATACAGTATGTTTAGCCCTTTGTAGAGAGCAGCTATATGTGTGCATCTACATAAAACATATATGTAGATATTAAAAAAGCGTGTGTATGTATGAGTGCATATATACACACATTATACATATTTTATGTGTGTGTGTATATATATA